AATCTTGGTTTTTTTTTCAGTTGATCAGATTCGTAATTTCTCAGGAGGAATTCCATCTTCTCGAGCTTCACCATCTTTCCCTTCTCTGTTTTCTTTTGCCCTCTTCCAGTCGGAACTCTTAGTTGACCGTAGTCAGGCGTTGTGCCTTTTTTAGAGCAGTTACGTGCAGGGCTGTTCCTTTTGTTTGTCGAAACTTCCACAGTTTTGTGGGATGAATCACGATGCTTCCCGTGCGGAAGCGAAGACCAGGGTCAATCGTGACGATGGGAAAAATCTCAAAAATTTTACGATCCATCTCCACTTGGAAGGTTCTCGCTACGGGCCTCCCTCCAGCAAACACTAATATTATGTAACCCACTTTTTCCACAATTCACTACACGACAGCCAGAAATATCACCCCCTTCTGGATACGACCCCCTTTTGGACCCGACAGAAGGGTAACTACGGCGTGGACTTTTTGTTGTGGAAAAGCCCTTTCTATTTCTGATAAGCTGCTGTTATTTTTTGATGGGTGTGACCTGTGGCAGTCCTTTATTGACCGTAAAATAAATTCCAAAAATACTTTCCGATCATTCGTATTTTGACAACCCTTGCGGCTCGTGAGCCCTTGATTTTTTTACCTGCCTTTGCATTTTTGAGAAAACCAATTTTTGTGACGAAATTAGTAGCAAAAAAGGAATTGTCGAGCTACAGTTAATAGCGAAAAAGTACTATAGTTAGTATAAGTGCACTGTGCCAGTTAGACGATGCTAAATCTGAATAAATAAACAAATAAATAAATGGCTGTTGAAATAACTTGAGTCTGTGCTCAGAAGGTGGCCTTTTCACTGTTATCTGCTTCTTTTCATTCGCTCCTTCTTTTACTTTTTTTATTTTTAACGGCCCTCCGCCCTGTCCTTATCGGTGATTCAACATTATTTTGCTACTACCGTCGCTGTTATCTGTCGCTATTCAGTTCTTATTAATAGATACCACTCATCAATATTGCGTAATCAGGAATTAGTCACCCCTGAAAAATGAAAATAAATCGAATTCAATGGCGGCTGATGATGACGACAGCAGTTGATCGTAGTAATCTGGCAGAACATTCCTTCGGCGAACGATCCCATATGTTCTCCCGATCACGTCACGGCGCTGGGAGACTGCTCGACGGCTGCAGCCCGGCAGCACCAGCAGTGGCGTTCGCTGAGAAGTTCCGGTCATCGATCGCCATTGGTGTGAGTGGAGTTTGAAACGGCTTAACACACCACATCGAGTGGCAGTAATGGGATCCACAAGCCTTTTTGAGCTGCTACACAGCTCAGTTCTGTTCCATTGCCTCTCCGCCCGTCGGCCGACTTTATCCTCCATCAGCCTCACTGCCCTGTTTATTCGTTTCGGATGTGCGTCACTCACTTTTCGATTGTATAGCAGCCTGGAAAATCTGTTCACACCTTTAAAACTGTGCTTTCTCCAAGCCAGCCTCATGTTCATCTGATTGTTTGAATTCTGCGAAGCTTCAAAAGTTCATTGCCAGCGAAAAAATGCAAAACTTTCAAAAGAATTCCTAAATGTTCCATTCCTGCTCTTGACAACGTCTTCTGTCCTCAAATAATTTTTAGTAGCTCGTGTTGCTTCGTCTCCACTGTATCGGTATGTGAAGAGTATGTTGCGGGTGGAAGTGTGTAGCGCAAGCTAGGACTGGCCTACCTATGCGCGGCCCGGGGATCTAACCCTGTTCGGCTGCCAACCTAGCCTTCCATCCCTCCGGGGTCGGTTGATTGGTACCAGACCTGTCTGGGAGGATAGTAACCATTGTATAGGCCAAATTGCGTTCAAATTGCCACTGTGATCTGGATGAAGGTAGGACGCGTGGCGCATCCCAAATCGGACTGATCAATGCCATATGTTTACTTTGTACTTTTTATGCTTAAGTATTCGGAAATTTGGAAATACGACTAACTCACCTTGTTTCGCCTTCACTAACTTGGTAGTTACCTTTCCGAGGTCGGTTCAGAGCACAAACAAAAACTGCTTATTCATTTAGAAATTATTTATAAAGCCGGTAAATAGAGTGTATTTTTATTTATTTGTTTAATTTCTAGATAAAGTGCTCATGAAAGCCAGCCAAGTGGGGTTTTTACCTTATGTGAAAAAAGTGAGCCAGTAAATATTGAAGCCAGCGTCTTCATGAAACGAATTGCGGAAAGTAGCTGTTGCGAGGAAGAGAGCTGCTCTTGCGGTAGGTAAACTGGTGAGCTCTGTCAACCGTTACTGCAAAAATTAGTGGCTTATTGGTACATCCTACCGGTCCTTACCTACGCCATTGTAAGCAGAAACTGGAATATTAGGAAAAGGCCTATTCATGTTCCCATCATTTGAGCCATTGTTCATTGTTTTGTCCTCATTTCTGCACTATTTCGTACTTTGTATTCAGTTATGATCTCGAATAGTAAACGGCTGCACGGCGCATTCTAGAGCTTCAAGGCCTGACCGTTGCCCTTCATGTTTGCGGTATAAAAGGTCAACGACAAACGTATCCGCGAGTAATTTGTTTTTTCAAATTGGCCGGCGTCAACCACTCCAAGGCAAATTTGGCGGGGTTTTTTCTTCGCGGGTGTTCTGAGCTCAGACTCTTGAAATAACGGAAATAATTGCCACTTGTGTTGTGTTGGGCGACTGTCGTGATAGTGACGTTCTCGTAATGTGATTGGTTAACAAACGTGGCTGTACCAGTAATTGATAACAATGAAACTGAGTGGAATACCGTAGGAAATGTATTAGATAAGGTGTTTTTCCGATTCATCGATTCTTGATTCTGTTGTCGTAGCCGTAAGAATATCAAGAAACAACAAAGAAACCATCAGGTGTCACTTCTTAGGATAGGGTATTAAAATAGGGTATTTAGATAAGGGCGGAAGTGGTGTAGTGACAAGTGGCGCGCTTACCACGCGAGCGGTCCGGGGATCAAATCCTGGGTCGTGAGTCGCCCGGGCCAACCAAGCCTTCCATCCCTCCGGGGTCGGTTAATTGGTACCAGACTTGTCTGGGAGGATAAAAACACTGACTTGTACATCGGCTGGCCCCCGCAAGTCATTGTATAGGCCACATCGCATTCAAACGCCACTACGAATGTACAAATGGAAGTAGAATGCGTGCCGCATCCCAAAAAGGGATTGATCAACGGCAAATGCTTTATCCTTTTATTTAGAAGATGGAACATCTTGGAATGCGCCACGAATATAAAAGTCAGTGTTTTCTTTCTTAGACGAGTCTACTGGCAAGTAGCCGACCCCAGACAGGTGAGAAGTTGGTGAGCGGAGACGAATTTTGTAACAAAATTCGGTTGGACCTTGTTGTGTGATATGATTGGCCCCATTGCTATCACCTCACCTCTGCCTACCGTTATCGAATAGGGTATATTGAAGGATTAGGCTTTGATATTGATGTTGATATTTTCATTGGAGGTTCGGAGGTAGGTATGACCTCAAGGCTTCATGTAGTCAACAGTTGCTCTACTTTTCATCGTCTGTTCCTCTTTAATTTGTTTACGTCTCTCAACCGATTGCGAAGAGTAGTTTGGAGACTGGAGAAATCTTCTTGCCTCACGTATCATGAGGGAATTTTGCCTACCCAGCACAATTCTTTTTCTTCGGAGTCAGTTGATTGCTGCCAAATTTGGTCAGGGAGATGGATAAAACTACCCCGACGTCAGCAGCCAGCCACTCGGAGACACATTCCGCTGTTGAAATGCCAGGGGTTACTGCCTTCAAAAATGAATTTAGTTTTGGTAATTGGTGAACCAGTAATGAAAGCCCTAACAAACTGCTGAAAAACCTCGAACCCACGTCACCCTGATATGGTAGCATACGGTAAAGAGACGGAGCCAACCAATGAGATCCCCGCCGCAGGGGTGGAGCGCAAACCCCGCCCACACGATCGTTGCGCAAATGCGGTTTTGAGGATTTCAAGCATTCTTTTGCTTCCCTTCGTCAGCTCTGCGTCAACTATCAAAAATATTTTCACTTTTTTGGACACAGTCACACACGTCTGATCGATGGTGGAACGTGCCATTAGGTCTTCGTAAAGTGCTCGGCGTGGATGGATATACCTTTTGGATGCGCCATAAATATTGATCTGGTTTTGAATTGCTGACACATTTGAATGTGTATGGAGTCCATGCAGCTAGTTTCACTCTATGTGAAGGTCAATGTTTGTTTTGTCGTATGAATTCAATAGTAATCACACCGGCTCCGAGGAGTGGAGATCCGCCTGGGACAGCACGAAAATTGTTCTATGAACTGTTCTGGTGGTGGTGACGCCTCTACCTGTTGCTCCATTCTCTCTCATTGTTTTGTAATGGATGTGGGAATTCTAAACCCAATTTTTGACCGCCTTTTACGTCTGAGGGAACATTTGGAGTTAGGCTTATTTCGGAGATATTTGATGTCTTGTTTTGTGTATGTTTTTTTCTGTTTTGTTCCGCGATCAATTCTATCAATTTAAACCCATTCTGCTCCGTTGTCTTAGCGCACCAATGAGCGCAAAGATAAGTAGACAAATAAATAAATAAACAAATAAATAATCTAAAAACAGGTATTTCACACATCTTGCTTTCGCTCATTACTTCAGTTGTCCCTGCTGATCTAAGCTTTCGAAATGCTAGCCGTCCTCCGTAGAGACTACCGTATAGCAATCAGTTCTTTTGAAATTGAACGGTAGGTGCCGATGTCATTCCAAAATCGGCCAATCTTTCAGTGTCAGGTGGTGAAGCGTTTTTTCCTCGAATTTCCAATGCAAAGGTCAGGTTCTGCAGATTCTATACACGTCCAGCCAGCCGTATAATTTCGCCTGAATACATGTGTGTGAAAAATAAACGAGGTGTTTTCGAGGCTGTCAAACTTCCTCTTCTTTTCTGTGATAAATTCTTACCAAGCGTTGCTGGCACGTTTACCTCAAGTATCCGTATAAAAAGCTATCTGGTTTATTGGTGAAAAGAGTTGAAGTTCTTTAAGAGCCAGTTCACAATGCGCGCAGTCAGACTTCTAGACAGATATCTCGCTCCCAACAGTTTTTATTTCCGTCTTTTAAGGGTTTTGTGCGAAATGAATGCCTTTACGTATCCCCTCCCCCCCCTAAATCAGTTTATTCTGACTTTGAATACTTCTTTAAAATTTGCGTCGGACATCTAATCTGAGAAGGTACAATATTTTTTTCTGTTTGAGTGTGTATATTAAATATTTGTTAGATAAACCATATACCTCTATTGAAGCACTGACTTTATCTATCCCATTGGATGCACCCCCACCTTTCCACTTGATTCAGAGTTGTAGTGACTGTGCATTGTGATCTGCTCGGCACGCATCTGACTTGCCGCTGCTGGATGATGTAAAGCCATGCTCCTTCTTCACAAAGGTCCGATAGCACTTAACTGGACCGAAAGGGATAAGGCTTGGTCGGCCTAGATGGCGCAAGATCCAGATTTTGAAATCAGGACCGTGAGCATGGTAAACGCGCCACTTGACATTCCACCACTTCGTCCTGAAATTTAAAGAACCCTTAGAATTCCCTGAACTTCCTGCTAATCTAAAAAAATTGAAATTGCTCTATTGTTGGCATCAGAAAATGCTCCAGCTTGAAGGAATTTTCCACTGAAAAAGCTCCCCTCATTACCACAGAAAACGATACCTTAAAGGAATCTTCCACGGAAAGAGTGATCATTTTGTCTTGTGTGTAGGATTAGTATTATCGAAACTAACGCTTATGTTCCGTTCTTTTTGCTATGCTCATGAGGCTAGGGGCCTAAGGTATCGTTTTTCTGTGGTAATGGAGGCGGAGCTTTTTCCGCGGAAGATTCCTTTAAGGTTATTTTCTGGATATGGTAGCTTCAAGAAAAGATACTCCGTTAAGCGCTCGCTCTTTGAACGAAGGCTTCAGTGTTTTATAAAGAGATAGAAATGGGGCCCAACAATAAAAAGCATAGAATGCTCTTAGCTTAGCTCAGACCTAATTTCTCACTTAGGGTCCTTTTCCATTACTTCGCGCACAAAGAGGGTAGTCGAAAGTGGCGTCGTCTTTCCTCCTTGATTCGGTGGTTAGATCCCGGCTCACATCCGCTTCAGGTCGAGCAAGCCTCCATTCTTTCAAAATTGGTAGCTGGTAATGGGTTTGCTGTAATAACACTGATCAGTTGATCAAACTTTTTTTATTTCATAATTTTTGGCCCATTTTTTGTTCTACAAAACCTGCAGGAGAAATTGGTCCCAAGCAACGTGCTAGTGGTAAGTGCAAAGTGCAGAACGACACTTTTGCTCGCTGCTCTGCTCTCTAAGCGTCAATAAGTAGCCCTCAATAATAACCCTCGGGATTAGTCACGGCGCTAAAGGTTCACACCATCCATGTTGCCACAGGTATTTGACTGGTTTTCCTGGTTCCTTCGTTTCCAGTTTTAGCCTTTGCTCTTCCTGTGGAATAAGATCCTTTGCAGTTGAGGCATACGATACTTTCATGAATATTTAATGACACGTTGCCACCCACAGTTGTCGGCGATTGCCCACTGCCCTGTGCTGTCCACGACGCCTCGCCTCGCTCGTGTTTGCCCTATGGATGTTTTTCAACAACAACGGCACAGCACGCTAAATTCTGATGGCCTCAATCTTCGTCGCATTGATTTTGCTGGTCCGCTCGCTTTATTTTTCTCGAGCTCAGGCCACCTCATTCGCCGTCGCCGTCGCCGTCGCCGCACAGTTTTTATCTGGCCGGATTGTTTGAAGGGCCGATCGATATTTCGGCTCAGCTCTAATTGAATTCCTGACTCTTATGATGCTTGAATTCTTGGAATGAAGGCGGCGATCGCTATGGCGAAAACGGCAACAGCAAAGGTGTTTTGTGACTAAGTCGGGAATGAGTTCACGCCCCGCCCACGGCTGCGGTGCGAGATCGATTTCGGTGTAGTTTCTCGCACTACTATTCGTATGGCGTTTTCATGGCTGTCACTTACGTGTCCGTGGCGGCTGAAACCCAACCCAGGTAAAATAACTGGAAGGAAAGCGCTGATATTTTGGGAAGAAAAAGAAGAATTTTGGGAAAGGAAAATGATATATCGTTTAATTTTTGATATTTCTCCCCTCCCATGACCCTATGCCATTTTCATTCACATTTTTGCATTCCTCTTTTTCTTTTTTTCTTTTTTTCCTTGTTCCCTTGGGCCGTAAACCTTGCTGAATTGAATTGTTTGCTTATTTCCTTTTTTATGACTGATTCCTTAACACATTGCTGTGGTCCTTATGCCTAAAGTCCATACAGCCTAGCCGATCACACAGAGCTATTTTTATTTATTTATTTATTTATTTATTTATTTATTTATTTATTTGTTTATTTATTTATTCAACAGATCATGTTGTTATATGTCTCTTTGCCGGCTTGCTCATGCAAAAAGAGATGTGAGGATGTTGAAATGGCATACATGAACTAAATTTATCGCTATCCGCAAACACGGTGGCATTGGGGTGCCAACGGATTTGAATCGCGTAAAAAGGAATTTTTTCCATTTTCCCGAAGCTCTACTCCTCGCAGGCTCAAGAATGCCCCTGTGAATTGCCATAGCGCTTTATATTTTACTCTTCCTTAGCGCCCTCCCAGTGCCAGAAAATAGGAAAAAGAAGCTTGAGGGGTACACTTTTTTGACACCAATTTTTGGCACAAACCTACTCGTATGAGTTACTATGGTCGCATAGGAGGCAATCCATCTACTTGCTGCGGGACTATTCTTGGACACCATGCAAGTGTTGATCAGGACAAGAACTTTGTCGCCGCACGCGGCCATCGAAACCCTAACCAACCTCCCTGTCGCCGGTTTTGCTCGAACTTGCCGCTCGAAAAAAATGAAACATAGTCAACCGTCATGCACATATCCCTACATAAATCGCAAATGGAGGACTGTGTTTGAATGTCTGGCCACACTGATTAGGACCTTCGCTTGTTCCATTCCGTAAAAGGCTTCTACCTCCTTTGACATCATACATTATTTTCAGATCTAGTTTCGTAACTTGCTTTTATATCTTGCCGTCTTTACGGCCATAGATCGCTTGTAAAAAGTTCCTCAAGAATCCTGGCTTGAGGGCAAAACTTTTGCTCCGGGAGGGCTTGAACACATCACCTCTTGCTCCCCAAGCAATTGTACCACCAGCTGCACCATCGATGTACCATTTTCCCTTAACTCAGCTCTCAAGGATATATTTACATTAAATTATAAATATTTTTACGCCTAACGTGACAAGAAGATTCACGTTGGAAAATTTTATCTTTTCTCTGACGTCCCGTCTGTTATTTATTTTATTTCTTATTTTTATTTTTTTTATTTTGTTTTTTTATTTGTTGCAGGTTCGATTTTTTGAGTTCTAGAATGTTAATTAATAGCCTTTATTGGCCACTTCAATAACAACTTTCCGCTTGACTCCTAACTTCTGTCAGTAGATGGTTTAAATACTGTGGTGCTCACCCTTAGCAATTACATAATCTTTTGTGATTGAGGACCATTCCATCCTATCCCTTTTTTTCTTTTTCCTTTTTTTCCCATCATTTATGCCACATTGAACTTTCGTGTCTCGTATCCGTCACGCGAGTATTTTCGTCGTATCCTCCGTTTTTTTTCATGAAGCAAAATACGGGCAAACCAATAGGTATCAGATAATGCAGGCTATGGCGAGTAGCGATTATCCTGCGTGGATGGGAAAAAGAGCTAATCTACGTAGTGGGCGTCATCAGTTAGGGTGGCATGATATCTCTCTTCCCGGCGACAGTCTTTTGACGAAAATACGTGCATAGACCGGTCGATGGTGTCTCCTCGGCATTGGTCCTAACTTTTGGAGGAGGTGGACCTCGCATTTGGATTTCAAAAGGGGGTCGCAACCTCGGCAGACTGATGGTGGAGTAGGAGAGATGGGAACTAACCTAAGAATTCAACGTGGATTTCTTTTTCAGGACCAAATTTCCGACTAATTCTGGGGTAACCTCGGGGGCATATGTAGTTGGGTGTGCTAGAGTGCGACAGGTTTACCAGAGGTTCTGCCTCCCTCCTGTAATCGAGAGGGGTTGGGCTACCGATGCCCCCCCCCCCGCTCACATACTTTCTGCTGGCGGCGGTTCCCTGCTGCACGTGTTCACCTCTGTCTTCTCATGCTGTTACAAGGAAGTCTATATATGACGAATTTCCAGAATGCGCTTTGTTCATATTCTAGAAATGATCGTTATGTGTGAGTCATCCCCAGTTTCTCCCATATAGAAAGCCATTTTGTATGGGAGTATTGCAATCGTTATGTTCAGAAGTCGCTTTGTTTCACACGTCTCATTGCAAAACCCGGCTCGTTTTTCCTTCATGTTTGAATTCGCAGTCACTGTAGCATTGCAATTTGTCTTTTACAACTCAGGGCCCAACATAATTTGGTCCTACGGTGTCATACTCCTGTGACACCCGCAGACTCGTCGCTATTTACGATGCGTCCACGAATAACAGCAAAACCGAAACAGTGTATTGATTTTTTCGCAGGCCTTCGTAAACGTTGTTTCGGCAGGGTCAACAGTTAGCGTACGAACTGTCGAACGGCGAAGGATCGCATTTATGGTTCTGGGAAGGGTAGGGGGAGGTCACATTCTTCAGGGCATCAATAGGATAGTAATTTTTGAGTGAAGATTGATTAGGTGGAAGAGAGCTTACTGTTATTTCACTAACATCTCTATTCCGCCTCGTCGAACGTTTAGGAGGCATATGGGCGGAGATTGTGGCTGTGTCGACTGATCTCAGAATCAAGTACTATAGAAATAGCCATGATGGCGAGTGTGGTGGTTGGGGAAGGGAGAAGGGTTGTGGTAGGATCGTATTGGGGGAAGCTTCCCTGAGCACTCATATGTGTTGTGGGGCGGTCCGCACTCGACACCGCTCCCCCCTCCTACAAGAGGGGCCTGCAAATTTTGAAGACCGGTGCGAACAGTCACGGTTTGCTCTGGTTGGAAAGTTGTTTGTGTGCGAGAATTTCGTCTAATTTGCTCCTATTCTCATATCTGACCTCTTCCTTGTAATTTTGTGAATAAGCTGCAATCGCCCTCAACGGTTTTCTGTCTCGATTGTAATTCCTGACTGGTTCTTAGGCGGCCGCTCTGGAGATTTTTTAGGCCTCCTACTTGTCGGTATTCTAATTTCCGTTCTGAGAGGAAGCCTGAGGTTTTGCACCCTAGATTTTCGGTTACCTAGGAAAAACCAAGCCGCTATTCACCTAAGCTGATCTATTTCGATTTCCGATTTCCGTTTTTATTTCGTTGCTCTATCTTGATCTAAGCCGACTTCTCAAAGTGAGATTGTATCTGCAAATTGTTGTCTCTGCGTTCACTACAGTAACAATAACATCATGCGTATCCCTTCTTTTAGAGAAATCTTCATTTTTTCGAAGGATTTTTTATTAAAATCTCAACAAACCTTCCTAAACATTACAATTTCCTACGGTCAGTTGCAGAGAGTGGGCGCTCGTTCGTCAACAAGGCCGGTAATATGATGAATCAGCTCTGTCATTTCATTCGCTTCTGAAGCTTTTTCATTTCATTCATAGCGCAGAAATTTATCTCTACTGTTTCGCTTTTTCCGTTTTTCGAGTTCCGATTTCCGAGACTGACAAAACCAAGTGTCTCAAAATGATCTCCTCAGTTTAACAATTCGGCTTTTCAGTAGTTATGCTGTTTTTCAAAGCACCTCATTTTCCTGTTCTGTAGGTAATCTGTAAGGCTTCTCTTACCGTTCTTCGCTTTATTTAATCAATATTTCTTGCAATTTGTAATCGAACTCGGTCGTCGGTGACGGTTGCCGTCTGGTTAGCCTTTTATGAGGCTTTTTAATCATACAGCTGGACTCCCATTTACAGTGCAACATTTTCAGGCTACATGTCCTATTCGCCGTGACGCCGATCTCACAATCCGCTTCCGCTCCTGTGCTCCTGCTCCAGTCGTACCACGGCAAGACGTTGTTGTACTTCCATCCTTCCTCCCCAGAGATCATCCTTTTAGCGGACGCTCGGTGCTTGTTGGTGTGTCGCTTTCTAAATGGATTAGAAAAGTTATTCCTCCGTCCGTCCCAGATCCCTAGTGGCGTATAAAACTTGCTGTCTGCAAATGGACGCTTCCATTGTCGCAAAGTTGCAGACGATGTCACCGTCCTGTCACTCGTCTACATTCTTTTTAAGCCAATTTTGTACCTAGCCAAATTCAAAGCTATTCGATTTTTGGCAGCGCTACCTAGTGGGCACGCCAGGATACTGTAGTATCTGCTACGTTCGCAGAAAATTCTCTACAGGTTCACTGGTTACGTCGAACAGTGAAGAAAGTCTATTCGATATTGAGCGAGGTCTATTAAGCAAGGTTACGGTAATGTCCTGAGGTCGTACGGTACCGAAAAAAGATTCGGATATGATTGGCTGGCCCTGTCCTTCCCCCGGGTGGTCATTAGTTGTCTTCTCTGCTCACT